TGTGATGGATACGCGGGAAGCTTCCGAGCGACCGAGGTCAGTGGAGGAGGTACCAGTGGTGCGCGAGTTTCTAGATGTCTTTCCTGAGGATTTGCCGGGAGTACCTCCTGCGAGGCAAGTGGAGTTTGGTATCGATCTGATTCCGGGGGCTGCGCCTATTGCGAAGGTGCCATATCGTCTTGCACCTCCAGAGATGCAAGAGTTGTCCTCGCAACTTCAGGAGTTGCTAGGGAAGGGATTTATTCGGCCGAGTAGCTCGCCGTGGGGAGCACCGATTCTGTTCGTCAAGAAGAAGGATGGTTCACACCGGATGTGCATTGATTACCGGGAGCTGAACAAGGTAACGGTCAAGAACCGTTATCCGTTACCAAGGATCGATGATTTATTTGATCAGTTGCAAGGGGCATCTTGGTTTTCCAAGATCGATCTGAGATCAGGGTACCATCAGGTAAGGGTGCGGGATGAAGACGTCCAGAAGACAACATTTAGGACGCGGTATGGGCATTACGAGTTCGTGGTGATGCCTTTCGGGCTCACCAATGCCCCGGCAGTGTTCATGGATCTCATGAACAGGGTATGCAGGCCGATGCTGGATCGGTCCGTGATTGTATTTATCGACGACATTCTGGTGTATTCGCGATCTAGAGAGCAGCATGAGGGGCATTTGCGGGAGGTCCTTGAGGTACTGAGGTTGGAGAAGCTATATGCAAAGTTCTCCAAATGTGACTTCTGGTTGCGGGAGGTCCCATTTCTTGGACATGTCGTTAATCAGGCGGGGATATTGGTCGATCCGGCCAAGGTTGAGGCGGTGATGAGTTGGGAGGTACCGAAGTCACCTTCGGAGATCAGGAGTTTTCTTGGGTTGGCGGGATACTATCGGAGGTTTATTAAGGACTTCTCCAAGATCGCGGTGTCGCTCACCAGATTGACCTGGAAGGGTGTTGCATTCTCATGGGGACCTGAGCAGCAGATGTCTTTCGAGACACTTCGCCAGAGACTGTGCGAAGCCTCGGTGTTAGCGCTCCTGGAAAGGATGGAAGATTTCGTCGTATATTGCGACGCATCGACTTCGGGGTTGGGTGCAGTGTTGATGCAGAGAGGTCACGTGATAGCTTATGCATCGAGGCAGCTAAAGCCTCATGAGGCGAGATATCCCACGCATGATTTAGAGTTGGGGGCAGTAGTGTTCGCTCTCAAGATTTAGCGCCACTACCTGTATGGGGTTCGATGTACGATATACACGGATCATAAGAGTTTGAAGTATTTGATGGATCAGCCCAACCTAAATATGCGTCAGAGGAGATGGTTGGATGTGGTCAAGGATTATGATTGTGAAATCCTGTACCACCCGGGCAAGGCTAATGTGGTAGCCGATGCATTGAGCCGCAGGGCGGAGAATACTCCATTGCAAGATGTATGTCTGAGACTGACAGTGATTACTCCAATATTGGAAGCTATTCGAGTAGCACAGGCCGAGGTTATGAGATCCGGGATGCAGAAGAAAGAGCGGGTCATGGGGTTAATTTCAGAGTTCGTTAAGGAGGGCTGAGGACTTCTGACGTTTCAGGGTCGGATTTGGGTACCATTCGTGGGCGGTACGCGTGCTACTTTGATGGAGGAGGCTCATAGGTCGAAATTCTCGATCCATCCTGGTGCTATGAAGATGTATTTGGACTTGAGGAGGGAATATTGGTGGCCTTGCATGAAAAGAGACGTCGCGTGGTTCGTTGAGAGGTGTTTGACCTGCCGTAGGGTCAAAGCCGAGCATCAGAGACCGCATGGTAAGTTGCAGCCTTTGGAGATTCCTGAGTGGAAGTGGGAACAGATTACTATGGATTTCATCACCAAATTGCCGAGAACTACCAGAGGAGTCGATGCAATTTGGGTGATTGTGGATAGACTGACGAAAAGTGCACACTTCCTTGCCATCAGCGAAAGTTCATCAGCGGAGAAGTTAGCGGAGTTATATGTGAGAGAAGTAGTATCTCGGCATGGAGTGCCGATCTCGATTGTTTCGGACCGTGCTGTACGTTTCACTTCCAGGTTCTGGAAGAAATTTCATGAGGAGCTGGGTACTAAACTGCATTTTAGTACCGCATACCACTCCCAGACCGATGGACAGAGCGAGCGGACGATTCAGACGTTGGAGGACATGCTTCGAGCGTGTGTGTTAGACTTCGGGGGTAGCTGGGATGCGTATTTACCTTTGGCAGAGTTTTCCTACAACAACAGCCATCATTCGAGCATTGGTATGCCACCTTTTGAGTTGTTGTATGGTAGGAGGTGTCGGACTCCCATTTGCTGGGGAGAGGTGGGACAGAGAGTGATGGGTAGTACGGAAATCGTACTCCAGACGACAGAGCAGATTCAGCAGGTTAGGCAGAGATTATTGACCGCCCAGAGCCGACAGAAGAGTTATGCGGACAGACGCCGGTCCGAGCTGGAATTCCAGGTTGGCGATTTCGTTCTCCTGAAGGTTTCTCCTTGGAAGGGAGTGATCCGGTTTAGAAAGAGGGGCAAGTTGGGGCCCTGGTTCATAGGTCCATTTCGTGTGGTTGCGAGGGTAGGTCGGGTAGCCTATCGATTGGAGTTGCCAGCAGAGTTGGGACAGATTCACAATACCTTTCACGTATCACAGTTGAGGAAGTGCATAGCCGATGAATCGGCAGTGGTACCGTTAGAGGATATTCAGGTGGATGCGAGCCTGAATTACGCCGAGAGACCAGTAGCTATTAGGGATCGGAAGATCAAGGTTCTGCGGAACAAGGAAGTACCTCTGGTGTTGGTTCAGTGGCAACATCGGAAAGGATCGGAGATGACTTGGGAGCCGGAGCGTGAGATGCGGGAGCAACATCCGGAGTTATTCGCAGAGTGAGACTTCGAGGGCGAAGTCTAGTTCTAGTGGGGGAGAGTTGTAACAGCCCGGAATTTCAGGTATTGCTTTAAAAATTGCTTTGGGGGCATTTTTGGTTGGGACTCGGCGAGTTGGAGCCAGAATCGCCGAGTAGGGTCACAGACTTGGTCGCGGGTTCGCGACTGGACTCGACGAGTTCAGAATGGACTCGGCGAGTCGACGTTGTTCAGCAGAAACCCTAGCCGTTTGGTTTCCGATCGTATATAACGCCTCTTAGGCTGTCATTGCCGTCTTTTGGCCGATTGGAGAAGCACCTAAACATCTGTGAACATTTAGAATCGGAGGGAAGGTTGTTGGGGCTTTGAAGGAATTGCTAGACAAGAAGAAGGAAGGTTTGGCCAAAGGAAGATCAAGTGGGTCGAGTTCTGAAGCTTAGGGACACAGAGAACACGTTTCCAGGTATCATTTCGATTCGTTTCTGTCATTTTGATGTGTTCATGGATTTAGGGTTTAGGAAACCCATTTGGTGGTTTGAGGGATTGTTATGTTGTTATACGAATGTTTATACTCCAGTAATAGAATGTCTAGAGGTACAGGAAGTCCCACGAGTGTGTGGTTCGGAATCATACGTATTACAGGAAGCAGTCGATCGACTGCATGGCATGGACTCGCCGAGTCATATGAATAGACTCGGCGAGTAGCTTGAAGATTTACTGGGACTCGCCGAGTTGCTCTTCAGACTCGGCGAGTAGCTTGTAGGTTCACTGGAACTCGCCGAGTTGTTCTTCAGACTCGGCGAGTGGATTCGGGGTGGCCCCGCGATTCTTCCACGTGGATCTCGTCGAGTCAAGGGGGATACTCGATGAGTAGAAAAGGGAACATCAGGGAAAGTTGGGGAGGACGTCTCGACTCGTTGAGTCACCTTGGTACTCGACGAGTCCGGTCCAGTTAACCGTTGACCAGAGTTGACCTGCATGTAGTTCCTTAAGGTCAGTTGTATTGAATGACAAGATTATTAATAAGGGTATATGGTATTATAGGGAGTCTGCAGATCGGCGGATCGAGTGCGGGTGATTTCAAGAGTTGATAGTATTCATTACCACGAGGTGAGTCTTCTCACTATACTGTACCCGGAAGGGTTTGATTGTGTGACCGGAAGGTCAGATATGTTATGTGTTATATATGCTATATATGTGTTATGTGATATGCATGTTATGTTTGTTCTATGGGCCGGGAGGCAATGTACTATGTGACAGTAAGGTAAGGTCAGGCATGAAATAAGATATATGTGCTATATGTGTTTAAGTAATTGTATTATGTGTTGAATATGTTACGGGCCGGAAGGCAATCACCTCATGGGCCGGAAGGCGTTGTACTGTGGACCGGAAGGTCAGGGCCTGGAAAGGCGTGTATGTGTAAGTGGTATACTGGGGGACTCACTAAGCATTTATGCTTACAAGTTGTTATGTATGTGTTTCAGATACTAGCGAGGACCGTGGGAAGGTGCCGGCATGATGTATACACACTGCTGCTGACTGAGATCTTGGGGGATTTATTTATGTATTGATATGAAACATGAAATAAATATTTTGGTTGAATGAAATCACTTTATTTTAAATGAAAATTTTATTTGAAAATTTGCGTTGTTACAGTCTACTATCTACCGTGGCTGACGAAAGCCAAGTGCTACTGGAGCTGTTGTGCTAGGAATCGGGAAAGCGGAGTGGAAATTGGAGGGTTTGCATAAAGCTAGGAAACCTAATCGGGGCGATTCTCTTCTCAGAACTCCTATGGATGCTGAGGATTACCTTGTTATTGGTAGTTCCATAGTTGTATGTAGATAATTGTCAATCAAGTTCAAGTAGGCCATCTTGATCATGGAAACAAAGAAAAGCGATTGTCGCCTGAGAAACTCCTGCATATGATCAATCTTTAAAGTCAATGACGATAGTTCCCATGATTGCATCTCTGTTGATGAAATCCCATACCAGAAATCCCATATAACCTTATAACTCTATGTACATTATAAATGTTATTTTGCAAAATGGGGTTAAAGTTTATTTACTCATGGCCGATGCTAGTCAAGTGAGCAATCTGTGTAGCACAAGTGATAATGCCTCTGATGTTCCAATAGACAGCTGTCGGAATGGTATTGGTTGCTGATGGCATGGATGGCATATCAGGAGTTATGTACATAGATGGAAGCTCCTTAAATTGGACAATACATATGGTAAGTTCCAGAATTGAATGGATTAGTTTCTTAAGAGCTTCAAATCGAGGTTTTAATGGAGCCGTATGCTCCATGATTGTTGGAACTTGTTTAAGGATAGCCATAGATTTTTGCTAGTTGGTTTGATGAGTAGATTTGAGCCAGAATCCATAATTCTCCATAGTTGAGAGCAAAAGTTCCTAGAGGTAGCACCAGTTTTGCATCCCAATGGAAGTTTGCGACAGTGTGGAATAACACAAGGGCTGTCGTATGTCCATCTGTAATCGTTAAGCGCTTGAACACTATCTGTAAAAAAAAGTTACATTTGGATCATTAAAAAAAACTCAATAAGCTTGTCAAGCTTCGATCAAGGGTTCTAGTTCCAATGTTAGCCATTGGAATCATCAAAAGAACCAGGAGTTTGTTGCTGCAAATAATAAATCTTTCATTGTGGATAAGCAGGGGCATAATGGGAAAGAAAGTGTTGGTTATGGGAAAAAAGAGGAAAAAGTGAAGAAGGGTAGCCAAAAGGAGAACAGTTTTGGTAATACAGTGAATCGGTTTGCTGAAAGATTCTACAGGTCCATGGTTTTGTGAGTTATGTGAAGATCATCATCTTCTAGAAATAGGGGGTCCCATCTTTCAGTTACTTAGAGAAGGTGTCTCGTGTAGCGGAATGTTGCTTATGTGGTGGCAATACTGGTGTTTTTAGGAAGTCAACTGATGGTCAATGGGTCCATGCCTTCTGTGCTGAGGTAATATTCTTTGATTGTGATTCTTACTTATGAGGTGATATACTATTATTATTATTTACCATAACATTAACCACTATCAACCTTCTTGTTTTTCTTTTTCTAGTTTTTATCAAATATGATACTAGTTTCTTACAATACTTTATTTATTGTTTATTCTAGGCCGAGACTCAAAAACATGGAGTTGAAGAATGGAATTCTCTGAAGAAAGTCAGGGTAAGTTATATTGTTGTTTATAAAAACAATTGTTTGAATCCAAAATCTTAATTTTTTTTCTTAAAATTGTCATGCAAGTTGAATTGGAGAGATTACTCCTCATCTGTGAAAGAATTATCAGACATGAGATATTGAAGGTAAACCACATATTTGATTGTACATACATACATAGACTAACTGATTATTGATGATTGTAGCGTGAATTGGTGATTTGTTCACATGATATGCTTTTTATGTGCTTACTTTTTAGGTAATGATTAAAATTTGGGTGAATGGTGTTGAAGGCTAAAAATTAGAGTGTCAAAGTGCAACATTTAGTACAAAAATTGCAGAAACAACGAATGGAGGTCCTAAACAGTCTGTTGTAGTACCAAATCCCTCAAATTGTTGTTCCAATCTGTCCTCACAGGTCTAATCCTCTATCTCTATTGGCTGCAGTTGATATGAGTTAATCCAGCTACAGCTCTTGGCTTCACTGCACAAACAGCCATATCTAAGGGTTCAAGAACTAATACTCTAGACTTCACAAACGAATTTCAAGATGTTAGGTTTCAAGAACAGATTGATTCAGATGAATCCACCAAAACAATTTCATAAAACCTCGTTATTTTCTCTCCATTTTTTAGACCTTGTAGAAATCAATCGGGAAGCATATATGTTAGAATGAAGCCTACAAATCTTCCATTTTTTTACCCCTTTTATTTCTAATATATTCATCTTCTATGCAAATTATCATATTTTTTAGATAGACTTAACAAGGGTAAATTCGGTAAAATACAAAGTACGTTGCTATGAATTTTATTCTTTTAATATACATTCAGGTTGCAGCCAAGATTTTGCAGGATGCAGCTCATGGAAAGAATTACAAATCATATCAGGTTGAAAATTTACAACTTACTTCAAACCTAATGTTTTTCAATTCAAAGAAATTACTAAATCTTGTTATTTTTTAAAATTTAATATTTTATGTTTTAGGATAGTGGGGCAAGGAGATTGTGTGATGCCATAGTGCTTGGAGGTTTGTAGCCAGTATCATTTTTAAAAAAAATTCATTTTACATCAACACTGCTTCCTCTTTATTTCTTTTTTATTTCTTTTTTGTGTTGTATTCTAACACAGGTAAGAGATGAATTAGGTATCAAAGACAATGAGAAGGCCATGGTACTCAAGTTTGGTGGACAAGTAAGTTGAGGATCTTTTTATGTGATAGTTTAACTTTTCATAATTCACTAATTTCTTTCATTCATCATTAACAATATAATAATTTTGCTTTCTCTCTTAGAAGATACTCAGTAAACAGAAGTAATTAGTAAAATATAATTTAGGTATTATCAAAAAATAACCAAAATGGATGATTCCATTTAACAAATTGACCAATTTTCATAACCTTTTAACAACATAACCACCTATTTTGTAGTGGGTCTGCTGCAGAATTTTAAAAAAATAAATATGAAATACATTTAATTGACAAATTGCTATAAAATAACTTAAACATTAACCTTCAATGCATGAAAATTTGAAGGCATTAGGTTGGAACTTAAAGGATGAGTACTTGCCTCCTGGTTGGATTTGCCTGGTATTCTTTCTCTCTTTTTCCATATCTACCCTTTTGTATCCAATGTAAAAAAAAAATTGTGCAAAAAGTTCTATGGCTCAGGTTTGTGGAGCACATGACAATCAGCAGGAGCTTCCTCACAATTTTAAGAAGATGGCAAAAGATGTGTATACCCCTGATGTCATGGAAGCATCTGATCGCATTCTTGGTTAGTGATATATATATATATATATATATATATATATATATATATATATATATATATATATATATATGTCTGTTACACATACGGAAGATCGAGAGCCGGTCTAGATTCTCATGTCACACTATGACTAGATTTCCTTAATGTTTTCTAATGCAAAATCAATCATGCAACTTATTTTAAATTTTATTTAGATCAAATGAAAGTTGTTTGTTTCCTTTTTTACGAAAATTCCAATCTTCTTGTTTCATTGTTTACTTATACAGGAAGAGATATATGTGGCAAGGGCACCTGGAAGATTGGATGTGGTTGGAGAAATTGTAGACTACTCCGGAAGCCTTTTTTGCAGGTAATTTTTTTTCTTTTTTTTTAAATGAAACAGACTATATATATAGGCTCATACGCTTTACGTATTATTTCTTTGGAAAATCAATTGGCAAAGATATTGGGCGGCACGAAACACCCTAACAACAGACAAACAAGAGGAGCTTCGCTACCTTGGAGCACGTAAGTCTTGACAACATCCTACTTACATGTTATTTCTTATTTCTTATTTCTTATTAATGCATTGGGTTTTTATAAAATTTTCATATTTTGACATTGTACTTTGAAAAGCTATTATATATAGTATTGAAAATGGTTTTGTATTTGGATGACACTACTATCAATATAATTTAATAGACACTTTAAAGTACAATGTTGTTATATAATTTTTTACCACGAAATAAAGTTTGTTAACCATTAGAAACATTATTTTTCTAAAAGGGAATAAAATATTAATTGACTTTTTCAGATAAATTAAATGGTTGAAAATGTATTGGTTTTCCTGAAAATTTTGCTAGTGATAATAGAGATAACTTACACCGAAAGGAATGTAAGTATGTCGACCATGCACAAGTCCATTAAGGAACCCTGTGAACCCCAGAAATTGGAAGCTACTTGTTACTTGGTCTTTGTGAGTTTTCTTCCAACATAACATACATTCATTTTAGATGCATTTTTCTACCAAAAATGACCCTGTGATAATATATGCAGGGAACTAGGGAACCATAAACAAGCCTGGCATTGTCTTGACCGAGAAATAAGGGCAGATCCGGAAGATGTGAGTCTTAGACATCCCCGTGCCTTGATTTAAGTTGAGCCTGGAAACTATCACAAGGCTGCTGAATCATATGAGCAAATCTGGAAACTTCGTCCTAAAAATCTTGAAGCATTGAGGATGGCAACAATGGTTTCGACTTTGTAGATGTTTTGTGTTCTATAATAAATATTATGCAATATTAGCAATGTGTTACATTTACTTACTATTGGAATTAATGATTCTCTGCATTTGACATATTAATGCAATGAATTATCTTTATTGTTTATGTTATTTTATTTTGTATTATGAAACATTTAATATGTTATTTAATTTGAAAATTAGTAAATCTATCAAAAATATATAATTTTAAAATCATTTAAAATTATGACAGGCAAAAATGTGTGTCGTCTTCCTTTATGACAGGGGCTTCCTTGATACGCATTGCGTGTCATAAACACGTGCGTCGTAAGGTTACGAAATGCGAATGCGTGTCGTCTTCCTTTATGACAGGGCCTTCCTTGATACGCATTATGTGTCATAAACGCGCGTCGTAATTGCGTGTTGTAAATGAGCGTCGTAAATGCGCGTCGTCTATGGACGACGTGCAAAAGCGCGTCGTCTCTCTTTATGACAGGGCATTCCTTGACGCGCATTTGCGCGTCGTCTGAGCCTTTTATGATGCGCAATGAGCGTCCTAAAAGGATGTTTTCTAGTAGTGTATCTATTCATAATAATGTTAATATAGTCCATTCAGTACTATACTTCCAACTACTCACAAGCGACAAATCCTCAGTGAACCTCAGATTGTCCTTTGATAGTTGTTTAATTATTTTAGTCAAAACCGATTCTAGTCCCTTTTTCCCTCTTAATTCCCTAGGCATTTGGAAAATTTTAGAATGGTCAAATATTATAGAATTTGTAATCGATCCTATACCCGAAGCGTATGGGACACGATGCATAATGTCTTACATAAAGATATGAAACTTTATCAATCTTCTGCCATAATATTTTATGTGTCACGTTCTCACAATTCGAACTATGAAGAGGGATGCCGTAATCATAATTGAAATTTGAGAACACACTATGTATTCTTTGACTAAATTTATTAAAATATCTCAATTTAAGCTTTAGATTTTGAAACAAAGTATAATATTCTCTCACTTAATTATAGCAAAACAACTTTTCAACCATTTCAACTTTGCAAAGTGAATCTTTATTTTCTATAATTAATATTGCTAACTTGCAATACTTACCATAATAATCATGCTCCCACTAACATGATGATTATTTTCTTACCAGCAAAACACTTATGCTCCCACTAGCTTTGACATGTATTCAGAAAACAATTTAACTTCCAGAGAATAATGCTTATTGAATTTCTTAAGTTCATATTTCTAATACCTAATGCTTTGATAAGCCTTTATCAAAGCTTCTTAAACTCATACACCTTTGCCTTAGAAAGCTCATATGTGTGTCTAGACAAATTCAGAACTTATGTCATTAAGTCCCAAATGTTCAGACTAATTGCCAAATCTCACAATTCGAATTATGGAAAGGGATGTCGTAACCATAATCAAATTCGAGAATACAATTTCCACAATCGCTATCTTCTTAAAATCTCTCTTAGTGAAAGCATTTCCTCACAGTCATTTTCGTGAAGGAGGGAATCTTATGACACATAGATTTTGTGGTGTATGTGTTCCTATCCATGTGAATTTTCCTAAACCAAAGTTTACGACAAATCCAAACTCATATGGACTGAACGTGCTCAATCTCTATTTCTTGCCTCATGGTAACACGAGTGCCCACCATGTCTTCCAAGTGGTTTAGCAACTCATCCTTACTTATCAATGTACTTTCCATTGATCAAGGTACTTTGTCTTTATGCATTCACATGAGAACTCATAGAACTTACATGCATAATCAACTTAATTGGAATGGCACAAAAAAGGAGAATGTCATCCACGATAGGCTTTAAACCTCAAGTCGTGTGCTAGTGATGATCAACTAGGTTTAACTCTTGATTTGTTCCTAAAACCTTTCAAGACCATTAAGACTCCCACTGGCTCCTTGACATACAAGATTCTCTTTTCAAGAAACATTCATTGACAAAACAAATATTCAAGAGTTAGTGTAGTTTTTATCAAGACTATCTCTTCACATAATTGGTTCTAGTTGATCTTTGTCTTATCTAAGACATCACAACTTACCAATCTCAAATGTGCAGCAATAAGAAGACTTTTTCCAATTCCACATTTGTTGAGTGTGATAAACCTACTAAAGACATGTTACTCAAGTTACAATCTTGGAGTATAACTCTAAGACTTGATGTTGGAAAAAAGTATGATTGACTTCTTGATTTTAACAATTTCCACAATTCTCGATTCCTCTTCATAGACATGCAAATGCACTAAGACTCACTTAGAGGATCAATTGAGATATGGTTCCTAATCATTAAGATTTATCATAAAACACAATAAAAAGAACTCCCCCTTCTTCTTAGAATAGAGAAAATTTTATCTTTCTGCCTACTTGATTCTTCTTTATTCGTTCTGCTATTCATTGAAACTCAGAGTTACACTTAGTCTTATAAGTATAATCATATTTACCAAACTTAAGTAAACCATGATGAATATCTTATATATTTTATGGTGGACTTGATCAACGCACAACCTAGTGTACTCAATCACCTAGTCCTTCACTTGACACTTTGTCAAAGAATTAGTCGAATTTCCAAATATGAAAGTTTTTCATTCATCACGCAACCAAGTTGCATGATTCCAAGTTTCTGTCCAATTGAAACTTGGGCGATGATAAACTCTCCCTATTTGGTAAATTCTTGACATTTCTACAAATAACATAATTAAGAATCAGATCCATTATTGCTAATAATAGAAACTTTCAAACATCCATTTTTTTCATACCGATTTCATTGTAAGGATATATATAAATCAAAAATTTATTTTCTTCATAAAAGCAGCGGAAAACATGTCCTTACAATGCAAAATCAATTGAAAAACTATGTAATCAAATATTCCTAACAAATATATCATAACTTTCTAAGCTCAAAATCTGATCTTCGAATCCATGCGATCGTGATCCATTTCTTCTTGATCAGACTCATCTTGCTTTTCCATCAAGCTTCTACTATTTTCTCTGATCCTGCAAAACATTCAAATGCAATCTTATCACATTATGTATTAAGAATCAATGAATAGGAACTTAAAGGAGTTAGATAGTGGATTTTACCTGAAGCAGAGCCATATTCCTTGACTCTCCCATCTCCTGGACTCTTCAGGTTCTCAGGGTAGATTTGTATCCATGGACTCTTCTCTTGGCAGCAGAAACAGGTGGGTTCTTTTGGAATGTCCTTGAAAACATGGTTGGTTGATTCACCAAACAAATATGCTCCATTGCTTTGCCAAATCATTTCTAATTCAGCAGCAATAAGCATGTAAGTTAGGTCAATGAGGGTGGTGTCAAGATCCATCATATAATACTCTCTTTTAAACTTATTATATGATTCAGGGAGTGACTGAAGAACCCAGTCTGCAGCCAACTTCTTGGGAAAGGTCGCACCCAACATTATCAACCTATCAATGTGTGATTTCATCCCTAGGACGTGAGCACACACAGGTTTACCATCTTCATGTTTCATTGCCAATAGGGCTTTAGTGATATTGAACTTGTCAATCCTACAATCTTGTGGGTTTGGCAGAACAACGGGAGGAGATGGAGGAAGTCGAATAAAGTTAGTCCACATGGTAGGGATTGATCTTTCACCTTCATTGTGGAACAGACTTTCACTTTGACCACGAATACCTCTTCCTTTAGATTCGGGAAGACCATGGTTAGATTCAGACATCTACAAAATGGGAGAATCAAGTTAGTGTATTGAATCCTTAATAAAACACCCAAAAGAGATATTAAGGCTAGGATCCAACACAACATTCCACAAATTGGAAGTGGGATGCCGTAATCCAATTTGCAGAATATTTGAAGGTAGGTAAACGACAATTTACCAATTTCCACCATGAAAAACGAAAAAGAATGTTAAGTTTTAAATGTATTGGAAACTCCTAGATCTTTTTGAGATAAACTGAAACTATTCAATGGCAGGTTTTAATCTCGGATTATGCTCTTCTATTTGCGACTGGGATGCCGAGGATCATAAACAAGATGTGAATAACCATGCAAATGTGCTTGGTAAAATCATTGTCTTTATCATTAACTATTGATGTGCCGGTAAACCACACACGCTCCATAAAAATGACAATTATGAGATACCCATTACTACTCTTTATTAGTGCCTTTTAGTGTGTTGGTTAACCACACACGCTCCACTAACGACCAATAAAGCATAATGTGCAATTTCAAGGATTAGCATACTTTTCACATTTTTTCTAAAGTAATTAGAGTTGGGATTTTGTAATATAATGTTCTAGTACTTTCTTTAATAACATTATACTTTTAATGAGATGTAGCTGTCCTATCAAATACGTTCTGCTAACGACCCTCCACTAATCAAGGAAGCGGTGGGTGAGAGTGGACACTCATTCAACTACCATTTTATAGGCAGTTTCCTTATACCCCCCTTATAGATTAGCTTCGTAAATGAGGTATACTAGCGATTTGACTGACCATAGTCTTATACATATATAATATTTAACTTTTAATTATAATATATATATATATATATATATATATATATATATATATATATATATAAGGTGTGTTTTAAACTTTTAAAACTTTAGGGTTTATATATAAATTTTGAAAATTAATACATTAATTTTAAATTTAAAATAAACCAAATAACCAGATTTAATCTTTATCTATAAATTAACTTTTAATTAATTAATTAAATCTTGTAAGGATTATCTAGTTAAATCAAGAAATTAATTTAATCCTAATCCATATCCCTCCTACATTTCGAAAATATGGGAATAGGATAATTTCCTTATTTTTCTCAATCATCCAATAAGGCAACTATTATCCAAAACAAAGAAACCCTAATTCTTCTAGCATATTTCGAAAATCAAGGGAGGAGGCTA